TCGTTTATGTGCTGTTCGGCTAAACGGCTCCGTAAGAACTCGGATGGACAGGGACACATGCCGTTGTCTTTTTGTCGTTTCTGCCTACGCTCCCACCGACTGCAGCTCAGATGAAGTGAAAGATAAATTTTACAGAAAGCTATCTGAACTTCTTCAGAAAGCTATACGTTCAGACATAGTACTCGTAGCAGGTGATTTTAATGCCCAGATAGGTAGTTTAAACCAAACAGAAAGGCATTCAGGTGGGTATTTTAGTATTCCGGCACAACGAACAAATAATGGTAATCATCTGCTGCAATTGTGCTCAAACAATCGCTTATTTTTAGCAAACAAATTTTAAGCATAAGGAGAGACATCGTCTAACATGGCGACCCCCTACACCAAACCAACGATGGACTCAAATAGACTATATTGCCATCAGTCATCGTTGGAGAGGGTCGGTAGAAGATTGTCGCTCATTCTGGAGTACCTGCTTGGACTCCGACCACGCCCTAATACGGACAAGCATCTGCGTGCGCCTCACTGGACGCAAAAAAGCCAAAGTAAAATGACCCATTAGAAGTGAATTGAGTAGCGAGAAAACCAAAAGTAGGTTCCAGGAACAACTGAGGTCACAATTAGGTAGTTCTGAAAACGAGGTTGACCCAGATGTTGCTTGGAAAGCTATACAAACAGCTGTGACATCTATCAGTGTTTTAAACCACAGGGTTACAAAGAACAAATGGATTTCCTCAAGGTCTATTGCACTGATGAATTCTCGTAAACTCATCCCATCAGGCTCTGAACACGATGTAGAGCAACAACAAATAAGATCTAGGTTAACCAAAAGTTTAAGAAACGACCGTGAGCAGTTATGGGCAACGAAAGCAAAAGAGATGGAAAAGGCGGTGACTATAGGGAACACAAGACAGCTCTACAGACTAATAAAAGAAACTGGAATTAATAAGTCAAGTGTAAGTCAGCTATTTCGGAAAAAGACGACACCCTCATCTGATCTCAGTCCAGACGTTTAGAACGATGGGCGGAACATTTCAGAGAACAGTTCAGCTGGCCTTCAGCTACTCTACAAATACCACCCATTCCCAGACAGTGTGAATGGAGCATTGAAGTAGGTCCCCAAACTCTAGCAGAAGTTCAAAATACTATAATTAATCTGAAACGAGGAAGGGCAGCTGGTCCAGATGGATTGGTTCCAGAGGTCTTTAAGGATGGTGGTCTAATGTTAGCGACTAGGTTGACTAATATTTTAGCTTAGATCTGGGAGTTACACGTTATCCCATCTGACTGGTTACAATCACTTATCGTCCCAATATACCATAGAGGGTTAAAATCATCTTGTGACAACCATAGACGGATTAGTTTAACTAATATAGTATCTAAAATACTAGCTTCGATAATTATCAGACGCCTAACTAAGACTCGTGAACTGCAAACACCAGAGAATCAAGCTGGCTTCAGACCTGGTGGTGATTGCATCGACCACATATTCACCATTCGTCAGGTTCTAGAACATAGGCATACTTAACGGCGTCCGACAATGGTGGTCTCTCTTGACTTAAAAGCAGCATTTGACTCGGTAGACAGCGAGATTCTGTGGCAGTGTCTGTCATTGAAAGGCGTACCTCAGAAGTACATAAACCTTGTGAAGACTCTTTACTCGAACACTACTAGTTGAGTCATCTGATTTTGCAACCTCAAGTGGTGTCTGTCAAGGCTGTCCACTTTCTCCATTTTTGTTTAACTTCATCATAGACCTATTGATGGAAATAACATTCTCGTCTACTGAATTCTCGTGTATTGATCTCCTTCCAGGAGGTTCACATATCGACTTAGAATACGCAGATGATAGAGTCCTGTTTGGTGAAGACGCTGATAAAATGCAGTCTTTTGGCAGCACTAAGCAACAATGCCAGAATGTTTGGAAGGCGCCTCTCTCACTCTAAATGCAAGTTATTGCTTCAGGAGTGGTCTGCGTCAACACCTGAACTAAGGATAAGGAGTGAAGTAGTCGAACGCGTTGACAACTTCACTTATCTTGGAAGTCTGATCAGCAGTGATGGATTGGTGCCTGACGAAATCTCAACACGGATTCAGAAAGTTTGTTTGACTTTTGCCAACTTACGTCACCTATGGCGAAGGCGAGATATACGTCTATCAACAAAAGGGCGAGTATACTGCGCGGCAGTCCGGTCTGTTTTAATCTACGGCAGTGAAACATGGTCAATAAGAGTGGAAGACACTTGTAAGCTACTAGTATTTGACCACAGATACCTTCGAAATATTGCTGGCATCTGCTGGGATCAACGGGTAATTAATGGTGAGGTTAGACGTAGAATATTAGAGAATGATGGTAAATCAGTTGATGATTTTGTGAATCTTCATCGACTGAGATGGTTGGGCCACATGTTACGTATGCCTGAACACCGATTACCACGACGTGCAATGCTAACCGGTGTTCGGGATGATTGGAAGAAAGTTAGGGGTGGCCAAACCAAAACGTGGCATCAGTCCTTGAAGCCACTAACTTCCAGTCTGAGCCATGTTGGTAGATGCAGACTACTTGGTTGGGGTCCGCGTGACTATCGTATCCAATTGTTGGATGCTCTGGATGACATGGCTCAGAATCGATCACAAAGATGTTGGTGTTCACACTGTTTGTCTTCCCTTAAAACATGAGGTTCAATTACTTTATACCTTTCTACTAAATAATTCGTTCTCCCTGTATTATGTCCTTATATGTAATCTTTCTTTTATATATTACTGCCACTGAAGTAACTGCTTCTATGAATATGGTGTTCGTCTTGTTGTGTTAATGAAGTATGGCAACTTGGAACGATGCATATATGTGCCTGATCCTACATTGTAGCTGACTGACTGACTGAGGGCTCACCGCAAAGACTGAAATTCACGAGTTTGACTCCTGACCCGAAGCACTAAGTGGTCACATACTACGATAAAACACGTGCTCAATACTTATTGATTTTTCCAACGGTTGTCTTAACTCAATCCGTGATGGTCGTTGTAACTAAACAAATAGCGTAACAAGTGGGGTGCAAATGACCTACACAGAACATATGAATACAAATAATTTACCCCAATTATTGTTACTTGTCATAGTATGTTTCCAGAAATATTTTTCTATCGTTCAGTACCTTCATTTTTCACACACCCCTTCCCCTATTTTGTGAATTAATGTTTAAAAATATATGGTCTGCTATATTTAGTATTGATCTAACTATATAATACATCTCTGTCTACAGTGTAAAAGACAAGCAATACGTAATGATCAGTATTTTGTCAAATATATGTGGATTGAATAATTTAAAACCAAGAAGAGGGACAGTCAATTACTCACTACAGACGCTATACTTAGATCAATGAACAGGTAAATAGTGGTTCAGATTTCCAACTTAAATCAATTAGTGATGATACTTTGAAAACACGACCCATCACGTTTTACTTCTAACAAGATTGAACTCATACGATCGGTGTACATGTCATTGCTAATTTCTGGTTGCAAACACCTTCATAGCGTACTACTTCCTGAGATACTTAAAAGTACAGCTAGGCTGCTTGACGTCTTGGACGAATGGTAACATCCACTGACTCCATCAAAGAACAAACCCTTAAGGTAGGTTATACACGAGAGTATTCTGAGTGATTCTTCATGTGTCAGTTCCACACTTTTCAAAACTTACCGTCGGCTACAAAATCCCATGTGGTGAGTTCTTTAGTAGTAGTAATAGCAATAGCAATAGTAATAGTAATGGTAATAGTAATAGTAGTAGTTATATATGAATATGCGAAGAGGAATTTTATAAAAGTATGTTGTAGATGGAAAGTAATCGAAAGGAATAGTGGTTGAAAATATTGACAAGGAATAATGCAGAATTATGAAAAAAAATTGGTACCAAAGAAAGAATGAAGGAAATGAACGCATCATATGAGAGTATTTTGCCTATCATGATCTACAATTCGAGAAAGGCAAATGATAAATTGTTGAGAATATTTCGAGTGCATTGGACAAAAGGAGGTATACCGAAGCTTCGTGAGAAATAAAAATATTAGTATTAGTATTATTATTATCATATTATTTATTATTGCAATTATTATTTTAAAAAATGGAGACTGAACAGTATTTAACATAAGATCACGAATGCTCATAAAGAAAAAGAAATGTTAGTTGTCATAGTAATATTAGCAGTGATCGTATCAGTCAATGGTACATTATTCTCCAAAAAAAATAAGCATGTACATATTTATATAGAACAATAATTGATTAACTCTAAAAATATTGACATTGTCTGTGTGTATGTAGTTTTTTTATATAAAAAAATTCAGTGTTTGTACTTTAGTAATTCAAAATTTATCATAGTAATACTACTCGATAGCAGACAGCTTATGAGAATAATACATCTCTATTTTGGTGTAAACGTTAAAATACTGATCTTATTGTCTCAGCTGTTTAAACCAATAACTGATAAAGTTGAAAGTTTTACAACTACTTGGCCGACAATCAGTCAATCAGTACTTACACGAAAATAGATAAGATAAAACCTATAAACAAACTAAAAGGGGTTAGGGACAAAGTATTTGTAACATGTTTTAATTACCATAAATATTATCATTTTTTTAACATCGAAAAAAAAACAGTATTTAGAAAGAAAAGTATCTAGGTGAGTTCTTGTCATAAGTCGTCATCGTGCACAGATCGATACTTAGCAACAAAGAATGTGATTGCGTGCGAATGTCGAGCTACAGTAAAACAAAGGAAGTAGTAAGCGAACAAGACAGACAAAGAGATTAAGGCAAAATAAATGAACAATGTGCGAAAAAAATAATTACGGGATCAGTCTAAAAGGAATGAGTTAGAATTGCTCGACTAGAGAAAAGCAAAGGACAATTATATGCACCGAATAAGATGTAACAACAAAACGAAAACTAACACCAGAAAGAAAAATACAAAATAAACATCGGGGAGAGAAAACAATATTGGATAGATAATAATAATAAAAATAATAATAATAATAATAATAATAATAATAAATTCTACGGTGATTCATCGTCATTATCATCACCTTGATTAGCATCGATATTCTCAGTTGCCACAAGAGTAGTTTTCGCCTTCTCCACACCACAACTTTCTTCCTCCTGGTCATCATCATCCTCTGTATTCACATAACCAGGCCATTCAGTATAATCATCCGAATCAATATAATCTTGATTCTCAGTAATTCGATGTATACCAGAACGTAGAAGTGGAGTACCTTGTCCTTTAGCTTGTATTATATATTTCAAAAGCAAAGAACGTGTTTTCGTTTATTACAAAGAAAAGATGCACAGACATTAAAAAACTAAACTGTAAGCAAGATAGAGTATGAACTATTGGTGATTTAAATCAGCCTCAAATCGATGTTACATCAAAGGAAATCATAAAATTACCAGAAATATTTACATGGTTCATACTGTTAGTAAATTCAAATGAATCTTTCAATGTATATAAAATTAACAAGGACATAACTGATTCAGTTGAGAAAAGAAACACGAATGTACTCAGAGATCTCCTGAGAATGGTCGATGATTCCATTTACATTAAAATAGAACCTTGTGGATTTTGTTTGACGCACATTATTGGTTTGCCAAAGACAAAAAAACAAGGTATTCCTCATAGAGCTATTCTGACAATGGTCAATTCACCATAACATCAGGTTGCATGATGGCTAAGAGATAAGTTAAAACCGAAAAATCGGTCAGGACCAGGCACATACATTCACTGGTAAAAGTTGCCACACTTCATTAGCACAACAAGACGAACACCATATTCATAGAAGCAGTTACTTCAGTGGCAGTAATATATAAAAGAAAGATTACATATAAGGACATAATACAGGGAGAACGAATTATTTAGTAGAAAGGTATAAAGTAATTGAACCTCATGTTTTAAGGGAAGACAAACAGTGTGAACACCAACATCTTTGTGATCGATTCTGAGCCATGTCATCCAGAGTATCCAACAATTGGATACGATAGTCACGCGGACCCCAACCAAGTAGTCTGCATCTACCAACATGGCTCAGACTGGAAGTTAGTGATTTCAAGCACTGATGCCACGTTTTGGTTTGGCCGCCCCCGCGATTGACGAAGTGGTGTATTATTTGAGGTATGTTGAGGACACCTTCATCGTCTGTAATAATCAACAACATGCAACAAATCTGTGGAAACTTTTCAATGAAGCCCATAAAAATATCTAGTTTACTATGAAACATAAAAATGAAAACAAGTTCCATTTTCTCGATATCGCAATAAAACGAAGGAAGGACGGCACAGTTCAACGTCCAGTTTATAGGAAAGACACATGGAATGAGATTTATCTCTATTTCAATAGCTTTTGTCCAATCAGTTAGAAAAAGGCACTTGTTAAAACACTATTACACAGAACAAAAAGTATATCTTCTGCCGATACGCTAGAATAGGAAAGAATAAATGTTAATAAGTGTTTAACAAACAACGGATACCCCTGAAATTCATTGAGAAATATACAAAACATGAAGATAAAAGACCTAAAGAAACTACAGTAAACAAAAAAACCTGTTTTTATTCAACTTCAATTCAAAGGTGATGATGTGACAGGGTCAATCATGTGAGGCTAAAAACTGCATCGACAAGAACTTATCCGGCAGCTAAACTGATTGTCCTATCCAAAACAACATGTTCTTTGACACAAAGGTCGATAGGTATCCCTTTCATATTACCACCAACTATGTATACAAAATCACATGTATCTTCCAAAGCAGTTACATTGGTACAACAGGAAGGAGAGTCTACGTCCGATTCAAAGAACATATTCTGAAAAATCCGAGGTCAAATGAATTAGAAGCATTCAGCAGTGCAATCTCAAGACATCTTGAAACATGACATCAGGTCGATACACTGAAGCCCTTCAAGGTGATTAATAAACAATCAAACTCCAATCTTCCAAAATCTGCCGAAGTGATATCGATCAAACGTCTAAAACCAGATCTACTTATCCAAAAAGAAGTAAAAAATATTTCTTTGCCCTGGTAACGTTACATCCTTTTTACTGAGTCATTCATTATTTCAACTCTTTCTGAAATTTCATTATATCATTGTCGTTTTTCCTCAATTCATATCTTTCTTTATTATCACATAATTCTGCATCACATTTCAATCATGGTTCAAGAGATATCAAGAAATTTTCCAAAATGATTTTACACATCATGGTAACACTTCGAAGGTGAGAAATCTACTTCAGAAACTTGGAGTAACTGAACATAAAAGATATTCAAATCTTATCTTGCCAAAAAAACCCAACATTTTTCTTTTGATCCTAATGTACAAAAATTAACAGAGATTTTCACTACTCAGACTTCTTTATTTAACTTGTAATATAATTTTCTTAGAATTGATAAAAGACCTGAAGAAGAATTTGTTTCATATGCTACATTTGTTAGTAACCAATGCAAAACTTTTAAATTGAGCTTATTTCCAGAGGAACAATTTAGGTGTCTAACTTTTGTATGCAACTACACCTGTAGCTCTTCTAGGGTTGCTGTAGTTCCCGGGAGGATTAATCAAATGGCTACGGAAATCAGGAGATACAACTCAACGGTGCTCGGAATCAGCGGAACCCATTGGACCCAAACTGAACAGAAAAAATTGGATTCAGGAGAGATGCTGTTGTACTCTGGTCATGAAGAAGTAAGTACTTCGCACACGCAGTGAGTTGAACTGATGCTGTCCAAAGAAGCACGAAAAACGCTTAAAAGGTGAGAGTTTGATGGATCCGGGATCATCAAAGCATTTTTCAAAATAAAGAAGAAGGGAATCACAATCAATACACAAAAGTAAACAAGCAAGTTAAGAAGGGCATTAGAGCCGACGAACGGAAATATGTGCAAGACCTAGCAATGACAGAGGGGAAGAGCTACAAGAGAAGGAAATATGAGACAACCATATGATACAACGAAAAAACTGTCAGGGAAATATGGTAAAGCAGAGAGACCGGTCAAGGACAAAGAAGGCATGCCAATCACTCAGATTCAGGAACAGAGGAACAGATGGGTAGAACACTTTGAAGAACTCTTGAAAAGATCAGTCTCACTGAACTCACCAGACATCGAAGCAAAATACACAGACCTTCCCATAGATGTCATTCCACAACGGTCGAGGAAATCAACATGGCCATCAGACAAATCAAGAGTGGGGAAACAGCACGCTCTGAAAATCTACCACCTGAAGCATCGAAGTCAGGCATAGAGGTAACTGCAAACATGCTCCGCATTCTATTCATAAAGATTTGGGAGGAAGAACAAGTGACGACAGACTGAAAAGAAGGAAATCTCATCGAGATACCAAAGAAAGCGGATCTCAGCAAGTGTTAGAAACACAGAGGCTTCACACTACTATCGGTACCAGGAAACGTTTTCGACAGAGTGGAAGATACAGTAGACGTCCGACTTCAAGATCAACAGGCTGGATTCCGTAAGAATCGATCGTGCACATACCAGGTTGCGACACTACGGATCATCGTTCAACAATCGATTGAATGGAATTCGTCACTGTACATCAACTTCCTTGATTATGAGAAAACTCTTGACAGTGTGGATAGGAGGAACTTAAGGAACCTTCTTCGACATTATGGCGTGTCTGAGAAGATCGTCAACATCATACGGAATTCATATGACGGATTACACTTCAAAGTCGTGCATGGAGAATATGTGACACATGCATTCCAATTGAGAATCAGTGTCGGACAAAGCTGTCTACTCTCTCCCTTTCTCTTTCCTCTAGTGATTGAATGCATTACATACATACACAAGGGAAAAGCAAGATCCTCAAATACAACACAGAGAGCACCAACGCAGTCACACTTGATAGAGAAGCTCTGGAAGGGATAGAAGCTTTCACGTATCTAATCAGCATCATCGACAGACAAGGATGATATGATACAGATGTTAATGCATGAATCGGCAAATCAAGGGCAGTATTTCTACAATCGAAGAGCATATGGGACTAAAAACAACTGTCAGAATCTTCAATACGAACGTCAATGTAGTTCTATTACACAGAGGTGAAACGTGAAGAACTACTACAACTATCATCAAAAAGGCAAGGGTATTTATAAACAGTTGTCTACGCAAGATACTCAATGTCTGTTTGCCGGATACTATAGGCAACAACCTACTATGGGAGAGAACAAACTAGCTTCCAGTTGAAGAGGAAATTAGGAAAAGATGTTGGATGCGGATGGAACATACATTGAAGAAATCACCAAACTGCATCACAAGGCAAGCACTAACTTGGAATCCTGAAGGCAAGGGTAGAAGAGGAAGGTCAAAGAACACATTGCGTCAGGAATTGGAGGCAGACAAGGAAGGGAAGAATAGCAACTGGAAAGGATTGTCTAGGACAGGTTTCGATGGCGAATCCTGATAGGTGTCCTATGGTCCTCCTCGAGTAGTAACAGGCATAAATAAGTAAGTGTTCTATAATTCACAGCCAGTCCTCATATATCAAATGTACATTTTCAAACTAAAAATGATCTTTTCATAGATAGACTCAATGTCAGAAATAATTCTTTGCCTACACTAACGACTAATATTCAGATGGATTTATATACTTTTATATGTGGAAAAGATCTCGATCAATGAAGTCAACAAATTCGTGAGTGATATAAAATGCACCAAATAACGATATTGTTTAAGGGCTGAGATGAAACTGAAAACGTCTGAATCATTCCCACCTAGGGCTGAGACTCTGGAATACTGCGTACAGTTTAGACACGCATTGGGATTTTGTCACTTGCCGTTTTGCTTTGGAATATATTTACGTTATGTTCAAGTAGTGTTTTGATTTGAAAACCGGTCGAGTGGAGTGAAGTGTCCAAGAATACTAGGCCGCATAAGCAAACTTAGTAGTTTCCTAATTGATGCAATTTAATAATAAAAATTTTCTTCACATTACACAGTATATATAATATTCATTGAACCAGTAAATTTAGATATTTTTAAAGTGTATGAGTGAAAGAGTGAGAAAATGTGAATTAATCTAACTTACCTAAAGAAATACCATGCAAAAGTAGACAAACAGCATCTGTTATATTTTCGACTCGACGTAATGTGATTAACTCATTGACACGTGATTGTTTTGTAGTTGAAATCTCCATAATTATTATATGACCTATATGACCAGAATAATGAAAAATTAAGCAAACTAGAGAAAACAAATAGATCAACATGGTAACATACAGAAAACACACTCACAGAGGGAACAAAGTGTAGTAAAACTTTTCATTCAATAATTGACTGCAAAATAAATGCAACAAACCTGATACGCGAAAATCCTAATCGATTGAAATGGTTAGAACATGTGTTACCTATGCCTAATCATTGCTTACTTCAGCAAGCGATGCCTGATGCTATAAGAGTACGTTGGCAGAGTTAGGGGAGGTCAAACCAAAACATGGCATCAGTCCGTGAAGCCACTGGGTGTTGGTCTGAGCCATGTTGGTAGATGCAGACTAACTGGTTGAGGTCCACATAATAACAACGATCACTGGTTAGAAACTTTAGATGACATGCCTCTGAATCGTTCACAATGGTGTAGACGTATTCACAATTTATCTTCCTTTCAATCCTGAAATCCACGACACTCATGTAAACCCTTTTACCGCCATTTCAAGACAGTTCCTCAATAGTCAGTAGTTCTCGTTATTCTCACTACTATAATACTTTGATTGATTTTGCAATTCGTCACGTTTTGCTAATGTGATGTGGTAAATTTGACAACGAGAAAAATTGCCAGGCTTGATATGTCGATTATGATTAACTATTTAACTGTACAAATTACAACTTCCCATTAAAATCGATCTGGGTAGGTCAGTCAATCAGCGTAGGACCAGGTGCATATACATATATATGCATCGTTCCAAGTTGCCATACTTCATTAACACAACAAGACGAACACCATATTCATAGAAGCAGTTACTTCAGTGGCAGTAATATATAAAAGAAAGATTACATATAAGGACATAATACAGGGAGAACGAATTATTTAGTAGAAAGGTATAAAGTAATTGAACCTCATGTTTTAAGGGAAGACAAACAGTGTGAACACCAACATCTTTGTGATCGATTCTGAGCCATGTCATCCAGAGTATCCAACAATTGGATACGATAGTCACGCGGACCCCAACCAAGTAGTCTGCATCTACCAACATGGCTCAGACTGGAAGTTAGTGGCTTCAAGGACTGATGCCACGTTTTGGTTTGGCCACCCCTAACTTTCTTCCAATCATCCCGAACACCGGTTAGCATTGCACGTCGTGGTAATCGGTGTTCAGGCATACGTAACATGTGGCCCAACCATCTCAGTCGATGAAGATTCACAAAATCATCAACTGATTTACCATCATTCTCTAATATTCTACGTCTAACCTCACCATTAATTACCCGTTGATCCCAGCAGATGCGAGCACTTGGGGTTGCAAAATCAGATGACATTTCGCCATTAGCTCTGACTCGACTGGTACTGTTCGAGTAAGGAGCCTTCACAAGGTTAATGTACTTTTGAGGTACGCCTTTCAATGACAAACAGTGCTACAGAATCTTGCGGTCTATACAGTCAAATGGTGCTTTTAAGTCAAGAAAAACTATAGTTGTCCAACGCCGATAAACATGCTTGTGTTCCAAAATCTGGCGAATGGTGAATATGTGGTCGATGCAATCACCACCAGATCTGAAGACAGCCTGATTTCGTGTTTGCAGTTCATGAGTCTTAATTAGGCATCCGACAACTATTGACGCTAGTATTTTAGATGCTATGATTATCACATGGTGATTTTGACCCCTTGTCATATATTGCGACAATCAGTGATTACGACCAGTTAGATGGAATTACATCCAGTTTCCACATTTTAGCTAAAATATTAGTCAACCTAAAACTAGACCACCATCCTTAAAGACCCCTGGAGCCAATCCATCTAGACCAACTGCTCTTCCCCATTCCAGATTAGTTATAGCTTTTTGAACTTCAAGGAGAGTTGGGGGACCTACTTCAGTGTTCCATTCAGGCTGTTTGGAAATGGGAGTATACTTGAAACTCACAAATACGGTTAGAGATAATTTTTAAATAGTTGAGCGACAGCTTAGATACGCAGGAAGTAAGGCGTGGAAGAAGTGTAAATTTCTTTATATATCCAAACTAATCCAAATCACCATACAACAGTAATGGTATTTATTACCATTAAGATATTGGCTAAGCGATTGTTCCTAAGAGTAATGAAATTCTGAAACCTAAATCTGCTTATGACTGAATAGAAATACCGAAGTAAACCACACCGGACGCACATATGTCAAAGGAGACTGATCAATAGCAATCCTAAACACCAATGGGAGGATCCAAACTAACAATATGAATGAATGAAAATTCACCCCATTACATAAGCCAGTGGCTATCTGGACTTAGTAGCTAAGTGAGTGACGCGTTAGGTGCTTGAAGCAAACAGGCTGGATTCAAGTCTCGGAGTGAACATCGACTCCGAGATCCAGGTACATAAAGCTGGTGAGTCGCAAATAGAATGAAACGCGCGTTCTGGATTTTACTGCTAGTCACCATCCATCTTTGCGTTTAATGATTATTATATAATAAGTAAATTATGTAAAGAAAGAAAGGATACTAATTCATCTGTCTTACCGTGACCAGGTGAAGGGATAGGTTCACAGCTTAGTAAATTAAATGAAGCACCGACATTAACTGGTAAACCGACATGACCATCCATTTCTGTAACAGTTCGTATAATTTCCAATTCACCTGACTTCAAATTATCCGGTATTGTAAATTCTGTCCGATAAACTGTCGCTTGTTTAAGCATTCCAAGTTTTATTTCAAATACAGGTTTATTTTTCAATTCTGATGGCAAGGTCGGCATTTCATCGATATCTCGATTCAGTAGGCGGACTTCAATATGATGACCGGAATCATCATCTTCACCGTAGGTAACTTTGTCCTCAGTAGTGATACAGGATTGATGTAAGCCGTCTAGTTGACGCTCTTCGACGTTAATGACTAAAGGTAAATCAGAAAAGCTAACTTTTCTTGCAACATGCAATGGATGAGGATTTGAAGAAATTGTGGTTGATAAATTACTACTAGATAAATGGTCTTCATTAACCATTTGATTAAAATGTACTGTACGATGTTCTGAATCAAGACAAACCTCACTAGATTTGGATGACTTACGACGACTGGGCGAATTAATGGGTAACTAGGAAAAAAATATTACAGAAATTATTTTTCACACAATACATTTATTTTTAATCGAAAAACTCGTTTGAGATGTCTTTCTACTGGTCACAAATATCTCAAGAATCAGTCAAAGATCTTATTTCTAACACTATGTGTAGATGTTCTGAGTTAAGGGGATTCGTGCAATGATGTTAATCTACAGCTGAAGACTTTCGAAATATATATTATTTACAGTTAGTATCCCACTGTATTTTAATGCCACTGCTACTCCCTCCTTACATTTTATCCATTTCCTCTATAGATAGAAGAAATAGATTATAGCTAACAGTGGAGTCAAAGATAGTCGTTTCGTCTTACTGAGGAATCATGAATTGGATGCGCCTGAATCATGATGTGGATGTTTACATTAGGACTCAATCCCAGTACCTTTTGCTTCAAATGCCAACGCATTATTCAGTGAGCTACGGAGTCCAGATAACTTCTAGTTTACTAAACAGTTATGAATTTTATAAAATCCAAATGGCAGAAACTTCATGTTGTTATATTTAAGTATAAGAAGGTTTTGGAGATTGCAAAGTTTTCAATTTACATCACGAACTGAATTGAGCTAGATCAACATTGAGAACCTGAAAGTACGAAACAGAGATTTCATCCTAGAATGAGACATTTCAGCAGTATGCACCCACAACATGGTCCGCAACCACTGTATTCCAATGAACGATTATAACAAAAGGAAAACCAGTGATTTGAGATCAAGGTGATGGTACAATAAAACTTTAATAGTTCTGCGTGAATACACCAGAAAGGTAGAAAGAAAATCCATACTACTGTAATTCATTAACTAAATGCATGTAAAATTGGAATTAAGACATATATTTCTAGTAGGTGAATGTCAGTTTGATAGCACTAGAGTCTGAATGCCTAAATAGCCATATTTTATTTATCACCAATCAATATCATTTACATTTCTTCATGCGATAATAAATACTATAACATTAAAACAGTGATTCACACAGCTTAGAGAAAAAGAAATCAGAACAAAACATTACCAGAATCTATTTATTTATTTAAAAAAGAATTTTACAAAGTGGTGAAAATTTTTAAAATAAGAATAAATATACGTGTATATATAGCAGGACAGTTTATGTGAAGTCTACTGATAATACATATTTATTTAAATCGAATTAGATGGAGAAGAGTCTCACACAGAAACCTGCAATGGTCGACAGTAAAGTGTTCTGATCACCGAAACATCGAACCATACATTATTGTACGAAGAACAATGATACTCACTGATCGTCTCAACAGATATAAATTAAACAGGATATCATTCTGAGACAAAGATACAGTGCTTAAATAACTAAGCTACCGGGCTCTACATGCAAACTTCTAGGTGATCCATCGGTATTTAATCGAAATGAAAAACCGATTAAAGTGCCATATATCGATATGATTTAAATAACAAATTATATAATTTTACCTTATGTGGTTACTTCAGTTAGACGACCATTTTAAACCGGGAAACATTGGATAGCTAATTTTGCCTAGTATAGGAACTTATTTATTTACTTATTTTATATATTTTAACACATAGATATTGGTACAAGGAAGCAGCAAATACATATACATCACACAAATCACATTTGATATGTGTGAGGGCTGTGATACTGCCCGCGTGCCAAAACCGAAGCAGGTGGTTTTCTTACGGGGCCACACCCGGAGCCGTCGACCTGAAGGTCTGATCCACAAGGCAGTGGAGCATCGTAAGGAGATGCAGTCCCGTGGTATCCGTTGACCAACGATTGGTTCATACGCTATTTGTTCCTTCAGGATACTGGAGCCCATGTGCACCAGTGGTTTGGAATCAGGGTTTTCCAACTCCCCTAGATAGACTCTCCATGTCCATCCCGGTTAAAGCGCCGGACATTCGCTTTTCGTCCTCTCAATTTCGTAAACACCCCTGCCACGAGAAGGTATTGAGTAGGACTTACCTGGCAGAGGCCATTTGAGAGCATTTCGAAAGGGAGAGCGGACTCTCCCAACTCTCGGCCGTACCAGGGGATTTGGAGGCCACGACCACACCAGGAAATGAACCCAACACCTTTCAGGACTCGAATGGAGTGCTTATCATGGAGATTACTGAGTTGGAATTGAGTAGTTAACGTTTTCAACTCTAACTATACATCCGACTTGGACTACCTATCCAAGCTACCATATCTGACATTATTTAGATTTCGTACTGTTATCGTATATACAAATTAAACTGTATCCTTTCGCACCACAAAGGTCACATTTTCTCATCCCTGACCTTGCACACATAAACACACAAATTTACATACGTCACTTATAAATCACCTAGACCGAAATGACATGACATTAACTTGTTCAGACCTGTGTTTTGATTGATCGCACATAATATTCTTGCGTCGTTTCGTTGTATTATTTAAACTAAGATTAATTTTGATCTGGTTATTTATTTTCTGGAGAATTGGCTTACACTGAGTCACTAAACGTTAGAAAATCTAATTTTCTAATCATCGGCATATAAAAATACATTATTTTATTTATGTTTAACTCTTGTCAATTTTCAATATTACAAGACTATTACCATTTCCCACTGGTGAAATCGGACTCATGGTTGACAAGTATGACTTTCACCGGTCACAGACTAACGATGACATTTCAGGAATCCGTAAGCGAAAATAATCAATGGAAGAAACATTACAATGGCAATCATCCATTTCTAAAAGTCAATCTAGCAATAAAGAATTGGCTGGACCAATTACTTGGTCCATACTAGACAATATTTTAACAATTAAGTCAGAAATTTGGAAATCAAAGATCCTTTGTAAAAAAAAATTACTGAACTATGTTTCCCCAGAACATAGAATATAGAACTAAAAACAATGGATTACTTAGCTGAGGGTTGAGGTATCAAAGTACGTTCTTTGAAATGCAAAAGAGGTACGACTGAAATACTGTCTATTTCTTTTGCTTTGAGAAGCAAGTGTAATATTGTTGGGTTCAAAATGTATAAACAGCAGATCCTAAGTCCAGATATAGGAGGAAGGATGGGATTGTAATCAGCAACACAATCAGGTAGAAAACAACCTTGCTAAACAAATGCGAGCCAGAATAAAAAAATTAAACAGTTTAAACTCATCTATTCGATTTCAAGGATATTCATTTACAGGAATTATGACAACACACGGTGAAAACAGACATTTTATAGTACAAATTAAGCACTCTTTATCAAAACTCGGATTATGTTAGAAATTTGGTCCGCTGAATTCCAACTCAATTATCTTAAGGTACTGTAGTTACTAAAAGACCTGAATGCTCATGTATGAACACAGTTGAATAATCTCAAATAAGAATGAATAGAATGTTCAGTGCTATTCAGCTGTACATTGTTTATTACTAACCTAAACATGATGTATGTGAAGGATGAATTCGGCTGAGATAAAATATCTAGATTTTCCTTTTAAAAAAACCCACAAAATATGATCTAGAATTGTTTTTAGCATTCAGGAATGTCAATAAGAACAAGGAGTAACCATTTCCAAGTAAAATACTTTCCTTAGTAAACAATCAATGGGTATTTCAGTAATGCTCTTTAGTTATAAAAACACACGTTTGAGTATTATGCCTTATGTTCGCGCTCAAATAGTCATTTGGGGGGTTAGCGCATAGCACACCGCGTATCAGTATCAGCTTTCAGACACAACTCATCACAACAGTTTCTGGATACGTTATTTTCATCAAACCCACGCGAAAATAAATTTCAAAATTTCTATTTCAGCAGAATAGCATAAGCCGAATCTGCAGCAGCCAAAAAAAATTTCAAGCATCACAATCGAAAATGATCGAATGATGATACAAATGTTGTCAAACCAAGAAAACTAAACAAAGGTGTCCAAATCAAGGGACTCAACTACCGAATCACAAATCAATACAATGAGCGAGTTTCAATCTGATCCTGGCACAGGTATCACATTTCAATCATGGTTCAAGAGATATCAAGAAATTTTCCAAAATGATTTTACACATCATGGTAACACTTCGAAGGTGAGAAATCTACTTCAGAAACTTGGAGTAACTGAACATAAAAGATATTCAAATCTTATCTTGCCAAAAAAACCCAACATTTTTCTTTTGATCCTAATGTACAAAAATTAACAGAGATTTTCACTACTCAGACTTCTTTATTTAACTTGCAATATAATTTTCTTAGAATTGATAAAAGACCTGAAGAAGAATTTGTTTCATATGCTACATTTGTTAGTAACCAATGCAAAACTTTTAAATTGAGCTTATTTCCAGAGGAACAATTTAGGTGTCTAACTTTTGTATGCAACTACACCTGTAGCTCTTCTAGGGTTGCTGTAGTTCCCGGGAGGATTAATCAAATGGCTACGGAAATCAGGAGATACAACTCAACGGTGCTCGGAATCAGCGGAACCCATTGGACCCAAACTGAACAGAAAAAATTGGATTCAGGAGAGATGCTGTTGTACTCTGGTCATGAAGAAGTAAGTACTTCGCACACGCAGTGAGTTGAACTGATGCTGTCCAAAGAAGCACGAAAAACGCTTAAAAGGTGAGAGTTTGATGGATCCGGGATCATCAAAGCATTTTTCAAAATAAAGAAGAAGGGAATCACAATCAATACACAAAAGTAAACAAGCAAGTTAAGAAGGGCATTAGAGCCGACGAACGGAAATATGTGCAAGACCTAGCAATGACAGAGGGGAAGAGCTACAAGAGAAGGAAATATGAGACAACCATATGATACAACGAAAAAACTGTCAGGGAAATATGGTAAAGCAGAGAGACCGGTCAAGGACAAAGAAGGCATGCCAATCACTCAGATTCAGGAACAGAGGAACAGATGGGTAGAACACTTTGAAGAACTCTTGAAAAGATCAGTCTCACTGAACTCACCAGACATCGAAGCAAAATACACAGACCTTCCCATAGATGTCATTCCACAACGGTCGAGGAAATCAACATGGCCATCAGACAAATCAAGAGTGGGGAAACAGCACGCTCTGAAAATCTACCACCTGAAGCATCGAAGTCAGGCATAGAGGTAACTGCAAACATGCTCCGCATTCTATTCATAAAGATTTGGGAGGAAGAACAAGTGACAACAGACTGAAAAGAAGGAAATCTCATCGAGATACCAAAGAAAGCGGATCTCAGCAAGTGTTAGAAACACAGAGGCTTCACACTACTATCGGTACCAGGAAACGTTTTCGACAGAGTGGAAGATACAGTAGACGTCCGACTTCAAGATCAACAGGCTGGATTCCGTAAGAATCGATCGTGCACAGACCAGGTTGCGACACTACGGATCGTCGTTCAACAATCGATTGAATGGAATTCATCACCATATACCAACTTCTTTTACTGTGAGAAGGCTTTTGATTTGATCGAAAACTTTAGACGACAGGGTTTTGAAAAAAGCTCATGATTGATTTGTTTTAGAATGCTGTTTTAAGAATGAAGAGTCTCTGTTTTTCATAGACTGAATTTCAGTTTTGATTATGATGAGATCTACTTGGTTTAGATAATTGGTCTGTGGCAATAGTAGTATTTCTAGCCTTCATCCCTTAAATAGGAATCTAAGGTTATGATGTAAACCTGTAATTTGCAAATTTCATCTATATAGGGAGATCCGATTTTTCAATAAAAATCGTACGCCTGTACTGTTCAGTAGAATTCGGTCAGAAATCATGATCAAGAAACACGAAGCGTGATAACTTAGCACAAATATCCTGGACTTACAGGAGGTGGGTCCTGGCATCCCATATAGTTCATTGGTGACGTTTTCGGTATTGAATGATATAACATCGAAATACATGGGAAAAGCACCCACGTTTCCACAAAAAATTACAAATAAACTATGTTGTTGAGTATCGACTAGCGTGAAACATATATGAAACAGTGCTTTCCACCGATTGTCTATTACTAGAATAATAATGTCTAAGAAAAGCACCACTGAATTATTAACCAAAAGATTGTTCGTCTCACCGCGTAATAGTGATCAGTAGGCGGGAGTGTAATTACGTTTTTGAAAAATTATCTACTAAAAAATGAAAGTAAGTGTTAAAGGCACGAAAAATACACTATTTTTAAAATAAAAACAAGACTAGATAATGAGAGAGGAAACCTAAAAAAGAGGCTACTAAAAAAATTCATTTGCTTGAAAATAATAGACAAATGATTCAGCATAAACTATTGGAAAAATCACTTTTAAACACATGTTGAATCAGAGGGGATAGATATAGCGAAAGATTTAAACGATGATCAAATGCATTATGATCTTATCATCTAAATATTACTAAAAGGATGACAGCGGCAGCGACAGGTTCATCGGAGTGGGATAGTGATGTTTTATTTAAATGATTGAACAAGATAGATGTAGTAATCATTAACCGACGGGAACAATATTAATATACGGGAGAATTTATAATAGTAATAATAAGAAGAATCACTGTTGATTGGAGGAGGGCAAGGTTCGTTTAATTACCATGATCGCATAGGATTCTATGTCCAAAAGACTACGAATGACAGTCATCAGTGTTATGTTTAATGAATCACCATGAATGAGTTGTGCCGCAAAGGTAGAAAATGAACAGCTTTGTAGGATAAGACGTTTTATGTGATGACATTTGGAGCTACTCGACCAGTGATTTTAGTTACACCGCATAATTCCAATGCTAATTCAATATGCGGTTTCAGATATTCCTGTATGATAAAAGTTAAAATAAATGCAGGATGGATTACATCTTATTACTATTATTATGATTACACACAACAAACAACAATACTTCCAAAAAACGCATAAAAAACCAACAGGTAAACGCTAACATTTGGAGTATCCAGAATAATAATAACATCGTTTAGTTGAAAGGTTTGTGATCGATTCTGAGCCATGTCATCCAGAGTATCCAACAATTGGATACGATAGTCACGCGGACCCCAACCAAGTAGTCTGCATCTACCAACATGGCTCAGACTGGAAGTTAGTGGCTTCAAGGACTGATGCCACGTTTTGGTTTGGCCACCCCTAACTTTCTTCCAATCATCCCGAACACCGGTTAGCATTGCACGTCGTGGTAATCGGTGTTCAGGCATACGTAACATGTGGCCCAACCATCTCAGTCGATGAAGATTCACAAAATCATCAACTGATTTACCATCATTCTCTAATATTCTACGTCTAACCTCACCATTAATTACCCGTTGATCCCAGCAGATGCGAGCACTTGGGGTTGCAAAATCAGATGACATTTCGCCATTAGCTCTGACTCGACTGGTACTGTTCGAGTAAGGAGCCTTCACAAGGTTAATGTACTTTTGAGGTACGCCTTTCAATGACAAACAGTGCTACAGAATCTTGCGGTCTATACAGTCAAATGGTGCTTTTATTTATTTATTTATTTATTTGAACACATAAATATTGGTACAAGAGAGCGCCAATATATATGCGCCACACAAAACAATGGGAATTCGAAGAGAAGTAGAAAGAAAAAAACAACTAAGGAACGCAAAAGAAAAAGAGAGTAATAACGAAGAGGTACAATCAGAAGAAATCTTTCAGGTAAAGGAGACACAACCACTTTTTATGAAGAAAGTAAAAGAAGGTTACAGCAGGATCGCCACTGGCTTCTATTCTGAGCCATATCTGATAACGTCTCTAGCCACTGTGTAGCACCATCTCTCGGACCCCAGCCAGGGACATTGATTGCCAACTGATTAAGTGCGGATTGCATGCCTTGGGCATTATCGCACAGTAAGACAATATCATCCGCATACTCAAGGTCGAGAAGTCTTTCTCCAGGTAACAGATCCACACCACCATTACTAACATTCATCAGAGCTGTTTCCAGAATGTCATCGATGGCAAAGTTGAGGAGGGATGGTGAGATTGGGCAACCCTGCCTAACCCCACTGCTCGAATGGAACAATGGAGAAAGGTGGTTGTATGCCCTCACTCTGCCTGAGGTGTTTTTATACAGGGCTTTTAGAATGTTAATAAACTTCTCAGGCACACCCTTCTTCAATAGACAATCCCAGAGAACAGTCCTATCCAACGAATCGAAGGCAGCCCTGATATCAAGAAACACTACGATTGTTGGCCTTTGAAAAGTATGGCGGTGTTCTAACATTTGGCGGAGGGTGAAGATATGATCAATACATCCTCGACCAGAACGAAACCCAGCCTGCTCCTCGCGAGTCAATCTTTCTCGGGTTTTGAACAACCTACGAAGAATGACGGAAGCCAATAGCTTGGACGCAATCGGAAGTAAACTTATCCCCCGATAGTTGTTACAGGAACGACGTGAACCCTTTTTAAAGATAGGGACAACTATCGACTCATTCCATGACGTTGGTACACTCTCTAGTTCCCAAACCTTTGTAAACAACGTCGTCAATTCCTTAGTCAAAAAGTCACCACCATCTTTAAAAAGAGCCGGAGGTAAGTCATCTGGGCCAGGTGATTTGTAACGCTTCAAGAGTTGGAGTTCCTTGCGGACTTCCTCCTCATTTGGTGGATCAGTCGTCACCGGCCATGGAGGGCAGGACAGTCTGACCGATGTTGCCGGAGCAGCAGGCCAGTTGAACTGCCCTTCGAAAAATTCTGCCCATCGTCCAAGACGTCGATGGATGTTAGTGATTGGCATCCCATCATCCTCGCAGATTGTTCCACTCACACCAGACTTCTTGCTGCCAGTGGCTCGGATGAGCTGGAAGAGCTTCCGGTAGTTACCAGATGCAGCTGCTGCTTCCAGCTCATTAGCACGCATCGACCACCAGGCTTCTCGGTCCTTACGCAAGCCTTGCCCAATTTCCTTACGTAACATCCTTCGTTTATGGTCAAACTCACGGTCACCCGGAGTAGACCGACGGGCTTCAATGAGTTGTAAGGAACCTGCAGAAACACAGTGCTTAAAAGCGGGACGTTTCGCAAACCCACAACTGACTGTTCCCACCATTTTCATGGCGTCACGCAATTGCAACCAATGCTCATCTATACCTTTCCGTGGAGTGGTAGCTAGCCTAGAGGCTAGCTCAGTTCGATACTTACTTGCAACAGAAGTTGCAACCAGCTTGCTAACATCAATCCGTTGATGGCGTTCACTTCGTTGTCCACTGAGAAGTAAGGCAAGATTGGCGCAGACCAAGGCATGGTCATAGTCCAGATAGGTCCTCCAAAAGGAGCGGCAGACTTTTACACAACCACACCAGCGGTAGCTGATCGCGATGTAATCAATCTGAGTCCAGGCTAGAGATGCAGAAGAAGGACGCCAGGTGGCACATCGGCGATGACTGTGCCGGAAGTTAGTGCTAGCCAGAAACAGGTTGTGGTCTGTGCACAGTTGCAGTAGACGGTCCCCGTTATCTGTCCTGTGACCAACGAGTCCCCATCGGCCACCTAAACGACTCTCTTCTGTGCCTAGACGCCCGACCTGAGCATTCAATTCTCCGGCTAGTACTACAATATCTGTCGAACGCACTTTCTGCAGAAGAACAGATAATTGGTGGTGGAATTCATCGTTGATTGCATCCGGGCTGCAATCTGTCGAGGCATACGTGGAGATGACGAAAAGACATCGTTTCTCACGCCAATTTCTTCTCACTTTGATGGAACTTTCTAATCTAACAGCACATAACCGACTGTTAATGGGGATCCAATCGACTAATGCTGCCTCAGCTCTAGCCCTTAGTGCGACACCAACGCCAGCAAGACCAGACGAAGATGCCACAGGGTCCCCAGATAAGCGCACGTAAAACAAGCTTTTCGAAGCGACAGATGGAGATCGAATTTGTAGTACTTCGCCAGAGTCTTGAATACGGGTCTCGGATAGACAACACACGTCGATATTAAGACTTTCTAAAGACATAGCCAGCCCTATCTGTTGTCCGACCTGCATAAATGTGCGAACGTTGAAGGCAGCCAGTTTGAATGGTGCACGTGGTTTCAGAAAATCTGCTTCAGTCCTCGTATTCGGTGGTAACATACAATTTTCAACCGGATAGTGACTCGAGAACGTTTAGATACAGTCGGAATTCCACCAAAGACGAGCCGCTGTATAAGTATAAAAGAAGGTGAATAATGTGGAAAATAATAATAATAATGATGATAATAACAATAATGACAATAATAGTGGTAATAATAATATTAGTATTAATAATGACAATAATTGTAGTGATCATAATTTGAATCGATTGATTGTTTTTCAAAGCGACAAAAGTAATTTCCATAGACATAAAGAGTTCATCATTTGTGTGTGGGCTGTGATACTGTCCGGGTGCCCAAACCGAAGCAGGTGGTTATCTTAGGGGGCCACTCCCCGAGCCTTTGACCTAAAGGTCTAACCCACAAGGCAGCGGAGCATCGTAAGGAGATGCAGTCCCATGGTAGCCGGTGACCAACGATTGGTTCATACGCCATTCGTTCCCGCAGGATACTGGAGCCCATGTGCACCATTGATTTGGAATCCGGTTAAAGCGCCGGACATTCGCTTTTCGTCCTCTCATTTTCGTAGACAACACCCCCGCCACGAGAAGGCAATGAGTAGGACTTCCCTGGCAGAGGCTGTATACGCGTGGCCGTGTGAGAGTATTTCGAGAGGGAGAGCGGACTCTCCCCACTCTCGGCCGTACCAGGGCATTCAGGGGGCAATGGTGCTTTTAAGTCAAGAAAGACCACTACCACCATCGATAAAGTGGTATTGCAAATGGATTGAAGTCGAAATCGTACCATTGGGCACCGACCTAGTGGGGGGTTTTAACGGTTAAGCGTTTATTGCAAAAACTGAATGTACTGGGGTTTGATTGCTAGTGGAGTTGTAAACATAAAACACTGGAGAGTTGCGTACTAGAATGAAATAACTGTACAGCACTATATACTAACGGAGATCAACCTATGATGAATAAAACTTTGTATGAACTTGATTATAAACAGTTAAATCCACCATTAATCATCACCATGATGGTGAAATATTCACCTACTGAAATACACATTTGGGTGATTGACAAGTCAACAATTATTACTATATTCTCGAGTTTATATTGATTATGTAGTACTGCTTATGTAATACAAGTATCCTTCATTATGCCATCTGTTAAATGTACTAAAAGATAGTTATACGTAGGATTAGCACTTGTCAGTTCGCTGCTGCGCCCTGACTCATAATAGGATATAGAACACGTATTATGAATACCAGGATGTAATTCAAGTAAAGGATGGAAAGCAAAGCTTACTAAAGAATCAGTTCTACTTTAGAATGACTTGTAAAGAATATGGTTGCGATTGTTTAGGGAGTATCAGTTATCAACCTATTTCATGGCAGAGGAATGTACATAAGACACGACTAAGGCATCTTGTAATTGTCAACTATGTACATAAGTTTGATCCTTTTCAACTGTTCGTACATAGGACAGTAATTTAGATGTGTCTGAGTAACTCATTGGTATGTGGTATGTGCTACTTATATCGATATAAGTAGTATAAACCGCTAGTCAGGAATAGAATGTCTGGAAGCAAAAGGTCGAGAAGGAAAGAATGGGAACAGAAAGCAATTAGTATGGAATTGAAGGAACATTGAAGTCTGAGACGATTAATTGAGATTTGCAAAGGAACAGTCAGGTTTGAGACACTTTGCAAATTAAGTATTTACTGTATGATTCTCAGATTTTACTAAGGGATTCTGCAATTTGGAGTTCAAACGTATTCGATTGCCCCCACTTGTGCTCTCGTTCACTATAGTATATTAAAAGATGGAATGTTACATCTATAGAAAGCGCAATAATGAATATCAGAGAGAAAAGCCTTCAACCTACATAAGAAACAAAAAATAATGAGTATACTTCATTCAATATGCAGAGGCCATTACGGCCAAGGTTTTCGGCCTGATCTTAGCTAGCATACAGAAGAAGAGAACGGTGAATCTCATCCAGTAACACTAGTGAAAATAAACATCACAACACAATTTCACTTATTAAATGGTTTATTTTTATCCCATATATTATTCTCGTTGACTTTATTCTATGTAATCACACGTATTATAACTAGCATTAGTAATAATAATAATAATATAAATTGCAACATTACTCTATTAATTTACATGATTGAGTTTTTCACACATAAATGTCTACCGATCTCAATGATTCTGTCTAATTTTGGTAAAATATCATGTTACTGATTGGTGTATGGTACATTCTACTTATGAACGATTGAGGCTTTTTTTAAATACGGCTTAACGAATGTAAGCTCATCGGTGGGGTCATGAGTGTGCAACGACACTGAGTCCTATGTTAGGACTAAATTACTGTCCACTGATTCTTGGTTTCTAATAGTTATCGGAACAAAATCAGTCCGTGATGGTAAACCATGAAATTATACATAGAGGTAGTGTGTAAAATACCACAAATACTTTGATACACACTCAATGTTGTGCACCACCATGAAAACACTTGTAAATCTCTCTGAAAAAACTGACTGACCTGTGAAGCAATTGTATGTTTAGCCGGATCTGATTCATAAGTGTCAACATACACTCGAAGTGTAGCACCACTACTGCCTGTACCACTTAAACGATACACAAATCGTGTTCCATCATTAAAAATTAAGCGAAAACCCTTTTTCAAAAATAAAAAGAGGAAACGACAATAAGACCATGAAACTCATACAACATACATATGAGAGATCATGTTTGTTAAAGTGAGAATACGGAAACGAGGATTATTATGGAAAAAAATGCATATAAGCATTACTTGAATGGAACGAAAGATAAGTGGTTAAGGCGCTTGACCTCCAACCAATAAGTCCTAAGTTCCAACACTGCGCACCTAATTCGGTTCAGGCAACTAAATAGTATAATATATCATTCCAACTTAGAGTAATGAGTGATACCCAAGTACGATATGAATGGGTTAATCACATAATTATAGTTATACAAGTGACGGACTAATCACGCGTAATTTTGAACAAGTATTGAATAATTCTGAACTTCAGTATGTTACTTATGTCTGTCGACATAAATAGTATGTAACACCAATCAGAAGTGAGATGAAAAGGTTAGGAATATAGAATTGAATGGAACAGAAATGTGAACAGAGAGTAATTGTAATAACAATAGGAATGAAGAAACGATGAAGTTTGTAAGAGATAATTGGTGGAAGGTGAGCGAATAGAGTATTTAATGTGTGGTTTTCGTATTTTACGAAGACATTCTGTAATTTTGTATTAACAGATAAATTGGTTTTGCCCACCTAAGTTTTTGTTCACTGCAACCGTATACCATTACTAGTATCATTACTTTTTGGGATGTTAGATCCCCAGAATTCACTTAGTAAATAACTTATTTTTGTAATTCTATTTTAAAATTTTGAATTTCTCGTCTTCAAGCCAAAAGCGCTCACTTTTGTCTTTATGTCGCATTTCCCACTTGGGAGGATCTTAAACGCTATTGGTTCGTTGTATCTTTTTAGTATGCTATACTGTAACGCTTCTTAAGGACATTTTTATGCTTGATTTATTTTTGTTGTTATTGTTAGTGCTTCTGGCTGCTTGCAGAATATATTTCCCTTTTCCGAACTTGGACTTCTTTATCTAGTTAGCGGGGCTTGGACGTATCAGAATAGCTAGCGTATTGGTCTTTGGTCACAGAAACTTTGTTCCGTTTTCAGACTAGGTGAACTCGTAATCGATTAAAACATAGCAATTACCAGTGCTAATGGTACAGTTAACCGATTCTAAGATGAAAATCAAGTACATAAATCTTTGAATCTAGTAACAATGACCAATTTAAATAGTGATTTAATTCCGATGAGTTGATGACTAAAAGGTTTTAAGGCAGAATTATATGCATTTAAGACATTTAATTTACGAGTAAAAAATGCGAAAGCATACACTAATTTCAGTCATTAATGTACAAAGTTTAAGAAAGTCTCATAAAGCAATGCTGACAATAGGATGGTATAATGCAACGGATATTTGTTTGTTAAGACCAAATCTCACTGTGAGGAGCATGAGATACCGTTTAGTCATTTAAATAAGAACACTGAAAGATGCTTAAGTTAAGCTGTGAAGTCGCACAGGAACACTGAAGTGAATATTACTGATAATCGTGCAAACACTAGAGGTGATTAACATATAAAAGTATAATACAAAAGTTTAACAATGAGTAGTGATAGTAACTCGTGGCGTGGGAGGAGAGAATCATATATGCAGTGAACAAATGGGCAGAGCATAGACGCAGAAGGCTGTCAGTTTTCTCAAATAAAGCTGCAAAACTCAACTGTGTTGGCGCACGCTGATTGGCTAAATCTTATCCAATCAGTGTTAATCAAAACTTAGTGAACACTATGAATTTTCTCATGTGAAAAACTATAAATATACTAGCGTTTTCGCTACTGCACTTACTCCCATTTAACCTTGTTATTTGGAACATAATCTTTTCCTGTTCAACCGTGTTCTGATTTGGGGACATGTCGAGTGAATCGGTGTCCGAGAATATTAAGCAACAGCTGGGTTATAACCGTAAGAGAGAAATATAACAAACTGGAACACGATCAGCCGAGATTCTAACGGAGAATATCAACTCTTCGAATTGATCCTCTACGGTAAACTAACTCCTACGTATTCAATTAAAAACGAGAAGTGGTATGATGGGACGAAAAGACTAAACAACGTTGTTTAGTAATTGTGAATCTCATTCAACATTACTTCCATTTCTAATTCAATGTGATAATTACTCATTGTAATATTTGTTTTAATTTCAGTGTGGTGATTATTCAACTGCGCCTGGATCCCCTCTGGGGCTGCTGCCGGTCCCAAGCCCCGGGTAAAGGAGGAGGGTTAGGTATGGGGTTAGCGACTCCATCCCGTAGAAAACTAACTCGCTAAAAAACGCTAACCAGAAAAAATAATTGAAACCATTCAAACTTTGCCCTGGGAATTCGAAGGTCTTCATTTAGAAGAATTATGATGATGATTATTCAAGATATAATATTCTTTGTATTGAATTAACGTGAAGTATGTTCAGCATGAAATGTACCATGTAATTATGTCAATTTCGTACATATGACTTCTTTCTAATCAATGATCAAGTGTGTGTAAAATCAATATATAAGAGATTGCATTTACGATTAGTGTCGTCATGTTAACGTTTAGAAAATTCATGAAAATTTCTTATTCTATCTAATTGAGCAATATTTAATTCAATGAATGCAAAATGCTACCGAAACCATTTAACATTTTATTCACGTCTAATATTTTGATGATGGTGTCAATGTACATAAGTGAACAGATCATATATATTAGGAATTATAATTATTTGAGAACTCAAAAAAAAACATTAAACAAATTCATATTTCCCCTCTTTCCCTACCTTGTATACAAAAAGGATGTATATATACGTTGTACGTACATCCATTATTATCTGATACATACAAAGATATCATCCAACTGTCTAACTCATTAAACAATTTATACATATAGTAGTATTTGAACACGCTCAACCTAATAATGGTTGGAAGCTCACTGACTGATTTAATAATTATGCCACTACTTAGGAAAGTCAGTCAGTCAGTCAGTAACAACGTAGAACTTCGTACGTACGTACATCAGTTCGAGTTGCCACACCACATTAGCACAGAGATGCAGTGACTACTTAGGAAATGGATAGAATTATACTCTTTGCAAAACTTGAAGTGGAGGTCACAGATTTGTATTGTTGGGAATTTCAAAGATCGAAAATGCAATCTATTTGCCAAAAATCAAACGATTTAAGAGCAAGGACACTTCTCGCTCAATCACTTCGTTACAGGCAATTACCTTTACTGAATCTGATCTGATGTCGACGTTAGAACATCAATGATATAAAAATTGAATTAGAAATCATAAGATTATGTTTATGTTAATATATAATTTCACATACTTGGTTTGCAGTGTGACTTCCATCAACTGGATCCACATATGAAAAATTATCACAAAAATCACAAACGAACTGTCGTCCACTGACAGTGGTGTACACATGACCTGATATTCTATTATTGTCAATTAATTTCTTTAATTCATTCATAATTTCATCACCTTGACTTGATTCACAATTTTCATAATCGTATCTACAACAAGGACGACAATCATTAAAAAAATGTAACTGGTATTTTTGACTGACATAGTTTGACTCTTGGATCATTTGTTTGCTTTGATTTTCTACATACTTGATATTGATGAATTAGAAAGTTGATTGTTATTTTTAAATAAACAAAGTATTTGTTGACCGATGAACATCTGCTACCATGACATGGACCTGAACATCGTAATAACTCAACCAAGTTATATTGGTTGGAACATTCGTTTCTTATTTATTTTAACACATAGATATTGGTACAAGGAGGCACCAAATACATATGCGCCACACAGATCTCATTTGATATGTGTGAGGGCTGTGATACCGCCTGGGTGCCCAAACTCGTTTCTTAGACCTAACTATAACAAGTAGAGCGGCTAGAGATGGGTCAGATTAGAACCATTAAACTCGAGGTTCGCGGGCGAATTCGTACTTCTAACTGTAAAGGAGTTTGGATGCAGTAAGGTGCTTCTCTTAGACAACCAGAATCTGTCGGGATACTACCTGCCCAATATGAAAAGCAATGGTTACCGAAAGGCAAATTTGAAAATAGGTTATCTCACCTTGCTCTACGAATTCCCGTCACTGTTTGAATAGTACTAAGCAGTACTGAGTCAACACACAAAAAGATGGTGTATGACTGGCCCGAAACAGTTATGCTCATAGCCCTGCGTTCACATAAACAGGTCTTTATGACTACCGCTAATCCAAACATTTTTTTACATCTCATAGGTAGAAGTATCCGACCACGTTGTGGGCAGTCGAGAACCACCTCATATGTCTAACACCAGTCGATCAGAAGATTTGTTCAATTCATGAAAGAATTGAGTTACTAAGGTTGCAATTAAGCGTCCACTATCTTGAGTCTGTAAGACCTTTACAACTCGTTTTTACTCAGCTATTAAGCGATGGAAAATGACTGTTACATTTAATTAACCTTTTCTTTAGAACCCCGAATCAGTGTTTTATACATACCTCCACTTCTATCTTTCTGAATTTATTACCCATGGTCCCATGAGAATCCATCACCATTAGAGGGCGATGACCGCGGTGAAAAAGTGAAGAAGACAGAAAAATTTCAATAAATAAGAGACTGAGGAGAATAACTGTTAAAGACTCATTACAGATGTTTTAAATAACGGTCAGAATAGAATAAATATATTAAGATAAAAAGTGATGTGATTTAAACGTTACTCTGAACTTTGTGAAATTAGTTAGCGTGTTTATTTGACAGACAGTGTAGATTGACCGATTTTGTTGTGACAGGCGGTGTCCGAAATCTGATACCGATACACGGTGTGCTATGCGCTGATCCCCCCAAATGACTATTTGAGCGAAAACACAAGAGTGAGCGAGAAAGTATATTGAGCTGCCCAATAGAACATACAAGTACTCATTCATATATATGCCACTCTAACCTTTAAGAAACTGATCCATTTCACAGCCAATGAAGTGCACTTGACCTTTAGGTCACTTCTGATTGCCATCGATTGACCTTTTCGTTAGGCTACTTCTGAATGGCGCTCCACATCAGTTTTAGCATTTAACTATTCTAACATTCGAATCACAGATCTCAACCGGCAGAATGTATAAGAACTGAGAAACTAAACAGTCATAAATTAGTAGCAGCAATAAGTTATTAGTGATCATAAACATTTCACGAAGGTAAGGTTTACAAAGTAGTAATACACAGAGATTTTTACTCTCAGTTTGTTGATGTGAGATATAATGATATCCATATGTACCAGGACACATTATTTATTTTAACACATAGACACTGGTACAAGGAGGCACCAAATACATATGCGCCACACAAATCCCATTCGATATGTGTGAGGGCTATGATACTGCCCGGGTGCCCAAACCAGGACACATTAATATAAAGGGTTATAATTGACCTGTGATTTTATCTGGTATTTGGCACACGATAAGTGTAATGTTTTAGTTTGGTTAATAATTAAAAATCCCCCCGTTGTAACAAACGTTATTTACGACCTTTATTATGTTTAATGAATGCATTACATCCTGCTTATTCGGTAAGTGTGATTTTCACCACAGATTTCAATTGATGCCCGAAATTCGACTGTGTTTGGGTTTTGCATTCGACAAGTTAGGCTGTATTTCATTGACATTTCCATAACAAACAGTTGGGGATAACCACAAACACTTGATAAGAAATTTTCGGGGAAATTTACTCTCTGATATGTAAGAAGCACTGACTAAATGAACAGGAAATTGACCGAAAGTGCTGGATACAACACGTCCGCTGGGAATTGAAAACGTTGCGGATTACCTCAATTGCCCAGAGCATAATTTCGTGAATAACGAGGGTTTATACATCAGGAGAATAAAAACAGATTGAACCTATAGTGCATAATTATATTCTAGTTATCTATCCGAACAATGGTCCGCATGAAACATAAGGCATATATATATATATGAAACATTCACTATAGAGAGAAAATGAACTATATAATTGCAACGATATAAACAGTCAAGTGTAAGTAAATAAATAAATAGCCAGTTTGTTCATTGAATGGGTCATGTGAAAACCCATCGATAAATAGAAATGAATAACCGGATGATTATTGTTACCAGCATTGTATTGAATGTATGTTCACGATATTAAAAACAAAGCCTTACAGATCAATACAATAAATTAAGGAAGGACAAGACATCATCATTGAACCCATAATTATATTAAACATATGTGCGAAAAAAATACGATGAACAATCATGTTAACTTATTGTTGGAGGTATACATTTAAGATTGATGGCAGAAATAAGAATTTAGTTCGTACATTTACCGCAAATGTTAAGAACTAAAATTGATCAGTCACCTTTGGGATAGGTGGATCCGAAATAATATCGAAGCAGACCGCTCAGAATGTACATATACCAAAAGTGACTGATCAATTTTAGTAGTTAGTATCAACGGGAAGGTATAAACATTCAATTGACTTCCGTTGCAAAAATGAGTGACTATTTAGGCTCAGTAGCTCAACGGATAACGCGTTGGCCTTTTGAAGCTAAAGGCACTGTTTTCGAGTACCGATGTGAACATCAACATTAAGATGCAGGTACATCTAACTGATGAGTCCCAGACAGGACGCATTGTTAGCTAGTATCCAACTTAACTAAAAAAATATGAATCGTAGAAATATTTGAATTATGAGCTCCTTTCTTATATTCAACAAAATTATTTATCTTCAGCGAGTCACTGCGTCACAACAGACACGGCTGAACTCTAATGGTAACGACTTCTCACAAGAACTCCAGGAATTACCACTTGAAGCCTGTCACTAGTGAGCAAATGATGATTATTATCAGAAAGGTGGTTTTGTGGAGATTGTACTGATATATTCGATGAATTCATGAGTCGAAAACCTGGAAGCACTGGACGGCCGCTCCATCCCAGTATGGGACTCCTCAGCAGTCTACATCCACGATTGCATAAAAGAATATAATACAGGGATAACGAATTATTTAGTAGAAAGGTATAAAGTAATTTAAACTCATGTTTTAAGGGAAGACAAACAGTGTATACACCGACGTCATTATGATCGATTCGGATCCATGTTACCCAGTCTCCAATTATTGGTTACGATAGTAAAGGGGGAGAAACGCACCCCAAACATGTGTTACCTATGCCTAATCATTGCTTACTTCAGCAAGCGATGCCTGATGCTATAAGAGTACGTTGGCAGAGTTAGGGGAGGTCAAACCAAAACATGGCATCAGTCCGTGAAGCCACTGGGTGTTGGTCTGAGCCATGTTGGTAGATGCAGACTAACTGGTTGAGGTCCACATAATAACAACGATCACTGGTTAGAAACTTTAGATGACATGCCTCTGAATCGTTCACAATGGTGTAGACGTATTCACAATTTATCTTCCTTTCAATCCTGAAATCCACGACACTCATGTAAACCCTTTTACCGCCATTTCAAGACAGTTCCTCAATAGTCAGTAGTTCACGTTATTCTCACTACTATATATATATATATATATATATATAATGGATAGAAACAGCGAAATACCCTCGAGAAAAATTATCACGATGGTCATTGCGCCTACAGGAGAATGATTTTACGATGGATCAAATATCGGGGAAGGAAAATATGGTTGTAGATAATCTATCATGAACAGAGAAAGATCATTTACCCGAAGTGGTTCTCGGAGTCAACACAATGCAGTTTGATCCACGAACAACCGTTCGTTATCAGTAATTCGGTCCACGGTTGGTGGACATCAGGGAGTTGTGTCCTCATCAGTACCTGTTAGTGACGAAAAAGTACGCCATATGTTGACTGGACGTGGCTGCGACTCTTGACAAATGCCAAAGGACAGTGACAAATGCAATAATTAGACATATTGTGGCGAACCACGACGTTCCAAAAAGGATATTAACAAATCGAGATCTATGTTTTGAGAGTGACGAGTTTACATAGTGCCTAGGTCAGCTGGATATCGAGGGAATCCGAACAACACCATACCAAAGGGCTAACAGAACAAAATAATCGCACATTAAAGAACTGGCTAAGAGCAAGAAGGGAAACTGGGAAGATAGAACTACTGATGGTATTGCTAATTCATCGCGCCGCAGTACAAGGAATCACTAGAAGGTCGCTGTTCCAGTCGATGTACAGTAAAAGAACGCGACTACCAGGAGACAATAAAGCGCGGCCGCAGTAGCAGAGATGGTTGTTCACAAAGTGGCAGGACGAATGAGAACAAGCGGTGGGAAATGTGCGACAGAAACAATAGGCGGATGTAAGGAGATTCAAACAGTATTGTTATGAATGGTAAATTTTGGGATCCATTTATGGACCAATAGTATGCGTATATTTTTATTGTTTAATTGTTAAATAACTAAACTATTCATATTCATGACCCTCTTATTATGACCTTTATTTTGACCTGTGAACTATTATTATAAGACTTACCATTCTTGAGTTGTGACCTGTTTATTAATTACTATCTCCCACATCCACAGCCACATTTGGCTAAATCTTGTACAAATGTTGTTTCCTATTTTATGGTACGATGTGGTCTGTCTGGATGGTATATAAACCCAGTATTTTTGAAATAAGTGATTCATATTGTAGAGGCTGAGATTGGTGTTCTGGACTTAACTGGTTGGACTAGGCAGGAAGCAGGACTGATAAGTACTCTAGACTGCACACAAGGGTTTTGTGCGTCATTGATCCGATCGATAATTCACTGTTCTCTAACTGGCGGTATCATTACGTTATACATTAACAGGGCACACAGGCTACAAGTTATAACAAGTATGAAGGGGAAAAGTAGATCTGAGATAAGGTGAAATGTAGATGACGAAAGGATACAATAGGAGGTGGACTTGGCTCGCGAAATCTACTGTTCATGTGGGAAGAACTAAACGTAGTTACCAGGATACTAGGACTAGTATATACCATCCAGAAAGGCAACAAAGGGAAACGCGTGGATACTAGCCAGCTCTAAAAGTGGCTTTAGTGGATTATCAGGACGGAGCCGGTGACAAAAGAACCACGGAGGTCAGCATGACTTTAAGTTCAACAATTCCATGGAAGTAGGCGAGTATAGAGGACGTTACCTACAGGATAGCTTGTAAGTAGTATGTTGTGGAAAGTGACGTCGAAGTTGTCATCGTCGTCAGACGTGATTAAGAGTTTCAGTACATTGAAAGCAGGAGGTAAGCAAAACACTTGTTGACTAGACGAGAAGACAGTTTGGATTGTAGGATAGACCTCGAGATGAAAATTGATGATCTAAGACTGTGTAAACATAATATGTAAACGCTGTGTAATTCCTCTTGATAAACAATTATTCTTCTAATGTTGAAAACTACTATTGAAACTAACCTACCTAGTGAAAAAATATCTTCCGTATTTCTTCCAATGTTCCATTACAATTGACTCGACATCTACTGGCAAACCAATTTGACTACGTTTAGCCAAAATAGACAACCATGCAAGTAATGCCCATAAACCATCTTTTTCACGTATATGATCAGAACCAGTGCCAAAACTTTCTTCACCGCATAAAGAGCATAATTTAGCATCCATTAAATTACCGAAAAATTTCCATCCTGTTGGAACTTCGTAACACTGCATTGATCGACTTTTACATACACTGTAATACAATACATCCAAATAGAAAGATGATATACAACTAAACTGTTGTTTTCACTAATACAGGGAGAATTTATACAGAAAAATAATACACTAAATGATTATTATTTTGAATACTGCCTCACAGTAGAATCCAACATGTGCATTACATTCCATATTGGACTCATCACATGGATATGTCAGCATGATGGTATTGAGAATCAAAACTACTATCTGTCAGTTCAAATACCAATGCATCATTCTATGGTCACTAGTTTAAGCGACTGAACAGCAGATATACTTGTAGTGTCTAGTACTATGTCAAGCCGAAATAGGTTATTTTAACTTCCAGACAGACCAGTTTATTCATTCTTCTTGAGTCACATTTTGACCTTGTCAATTATTCGCTTATTAACTTTGAGTATTTTTATATGAGCGTATGTGTCTTTATGTTTATTCTACACATCACATGTCTGTAGCTTATTTTTGTCAGGATATAAATACTAAGTCATGTCATCCTGTCAACAACTACTTCCGACCACCTAATGCTGAACTACTGAGCCCAGATAACCGCGAAATTATATATCGAGTATGAATGTATTATTAAGGTTTTACAGTCCCGCTACAACTGATCAATTTATTTGTCATAGGTGCATCGAAAGATGATTGGCCTGACACAGCTCTTAGTCTTTTAGTACGTTTAGTAAACCTAACAAGCGTGTTTCACCCTATTCAGCTGGATGTCCCTGGCACATTCATGTGTTGATATTCACGTTAATAACTAACAAACCCAGAAGGTTCATGGTTTGAAATCGATCACATGGAGTTGATATAACCCAGTTATATAGGCATAAGACAAACAAAACTTACAGATCAAGTGCTCTACTGGTAGGCATACTTCGTGCAAATCCATGAACACCATTCTCTTGAAAATATTTAATACAATCTGTATTATCTGCAATCACAGCTAACGAATCACATGGTGATACAAAAAAGCCGTGTCGACCAATCAACATATTTCGATCACCATCACCATCAAAAGCGGCTGCCATTGCAATTGATGAGTCAGCCACTATCATTTGGACAAGATCTGCCGCATAAGTCAAATTTGGATCAGGATGACCACCGCCAAAATCTTCTAATGGTTGAGATTTAATAGCTAACTCTGAATTTAATCCAAGTTGATTGCATAATATCTCATGAATGTAAGGCCCCATGACTTTATACGTATATATATCGTATGAAAGAGGGAATGATGAAAAAAGAAAAGAGCCATTAAAATACATCAACTATCAACTATATTCATTGAGAGGTACTGTGGTAACTTTATCCAGAATAAAGTGGAGATCATTTTAACGCTAATAGCCGAACTTATTTTCAAGGAAATGTGATAGTGAACCAATCAAAAGACGCTAATGGACGAGGCCACGTTGTGTCAATCAAAAAATCTCCAAAATGGCAAGTGCATGTGATTGATAGAGAAATGGCTTTATGTATGTGATCCAGTTTAGCGCAATAAAATTCCTTCCTTACTAATTAGTCTTCTCACATAGTAACCAGCTGAAGGCTTATACTTCGAGAGTTTGCTTAATAGTATCAGCTTCGGACGCCGTGAGTAATAACAAGACGAAATGCGTTAAATTTACACGTTCAGTAGATATTATGTATAGTGTGTAATGTGGAGAAAATTTTTATTATTAAATTGCATCAATTAGGAAACTACTAAGTTTGCTTATGCGGCCTAGTATTCTTGGACACTTCACTCCACTCGACCGGTTTTCAAATCAAAACACTACTTGAACATAACGTAAATATATTCCAAAGCAAAACGGCAAGTGACAAAATCCCAATGCGTGTCTAAACTGTACGCAGTATTCCAGAGTCTCAGCCCTAGGTGGGAATGATTCAGACGTTTTCAGTTTCATCTCAGCCCTTAAACAATATCGTTATTTGGTGCATTTTATATCACTCACGAATTTGTTGACTTCATTGATCGAGATCTTTTCCACATATAAAAGTATATAAATCCATCTGAATATTAGTCGTTAGTGTAGGCAAAGAATTATTTCTGACATTGAGTCTATCTATGAAAAGATCATTTTTAGTTTGAAAATGTACATTTGATATATGAGGACTGGCTGTGAATTATAGAACACTTACTTATTTATGCCTGTTACTACTCGAGGAGGACCATAGGACACCTATCAGGATTCGCCATCGAAACCTGTCCTAGACAATCCTTTCCAGTTGCTATTCTTCCCTTCCTTGTCTGCCTCCAATTCCTGACGCAATGTGTTCTTTGACCTTCCTCTTCTACCCTTGCCTTCAGGATTCCAAGTTAGTGCTTGCCTTGTGATGCAGTTTGGTGATTTCTTCAATGTATGTTCCATCCGCATCCAACATCTTTTCCTAATTTCCTCTTCAACTGGAAGCTAGTTTGTTCTCTCCCATAGTAGGTTGTTGCCTATAGTATCCGGCAAACAGACATTGAGTATCTTGCGTAGACAACTGTTTATAAATACCCTTGCCTTTTTGATGATAGTTGTAGTAGTTCTTCACGTTTCACCTCTGTGTAATAGAACTACATTGACGTTCGTATTGAAGATTCTGACAGTTGTTTTTAGTCCCATATGCTCTTCGATTGTAGAAATACTGCCCTTGATTTGCCGATTCATGCATTAACATCTGTATCATATCATCCTTGTCTGTCGATGATGCTGATTAGATACGTGAAAGCTTCTATCCCTTCCAGAGCTTCTCTATCAAGTGTGACTGCGTTGGTGCTCTCTGTGTTGTATTTGAGGATCTTGCTTTTCCCTTGTGTATGTATGTAATGCATTCAATCACTAGAGGAAAGAGAAAGGGAGAGAGTAGACAGCTTTGTCCGACACTGATTCTCAATTGGAATGCATGTGTCACATATTCTCCATGCACGACTTTGAAGTGTAATCCGTCATATGAATTCCGTATGATGTTGACGATCTTCTCAGACACACCATAATGTCGAAGAAGGTTCCTTAAGTTCCTCCTATCCACACTGTCAAGAGTTTTCTCATAATCAAGGAAGTTGATGTATAGTGACGAATTCCATTCAATCGATTGTTGAACGACGATCTGTAGTCAGTCAGTCAGTAACAACGTAGAACTTCGTACGTACGTACATCAGTTCAAGTTGCCACACCACATTAGCACAGAGATGCAGTTGTCGATTCAAATCCCGTAGTGGTAGAGGTAATAAGAGTATAAGCAGTAATCGGGAAGATTAGGGTTTGAAGATGTTATTTAAAGAGTATAATCCAGTGAAATAAATTTGGAAAGAGGAAAAAAGGAACATGAAGAATTCAGAAGATTAGAATTTGGGAGAACACAGAGAGTGGATGCACCTGCGCCATTGCAAACGACGATCCGTAGTGTCGCAACCTGGTCTGTGCATGATCGATTCTGACGGAACCCAGCCTATTTATCTCGAAGTTGGACGTCTACTGTATCTTCCACTCGGTTCAACAACACTCTGTCGAAAACTTTTCCTGGTACCGATAGTGGTGTGAAGCCTCTGTGTTTCTAACACTTGCTGAGATCCGACAATATACCAGCTGAAGTACTGAAGTCAGACATCGAAGTAACTACAAACATACTTCACCTTCTTTTCAAAAAGATTTGGGAGGAGGAACAAGTGCTGATGGACTGGAAAGAAGGACACCTCATCAAGATTCCAAAGGAAGGAGATTCGAGCAAATGTGAAAACTACAGAGGCATCACACTACTGTCAGTACCAGGGAAAGTCCTTAACAGAGTGTTGCTGAACCGGATAAAAGGTGCAGTAGACGTCCAACTTCGAGATCAACAAGCTGGATTCCGTAAGGATCGGTCGTGCACAGACCAGGTTGCGACACTACGGATCATCGTCGAACAATCAGTTGAGTGGAACTCGTCACTGTACATCAACTTCATTGATTATGAGAAAACTCTTGACAGTGTGGATAGGAGGAACTTAAGGAACCTTCTTCGACATTATGGTGTGTCTGAGAAGATCGTCAACATCATACGGAATTCATATGACGGATTACACTTCAAAGTCGTGCATGGAGAATATGTGACACATGCATTCCAATTGAGAATCAGTGTCGGACAAAACTGTCTATTCTCTTCCTTCCTTTCTTCTGGTGGTCGACTGGATTATGAAGACCTCCACATCTGAGGGAAGACATGGCATACAATGGACAGCTCAGAACCAATTGGACGATTTGGACTTCACAGATGACCTAGCCCTCCTATCGCACACACACGAACAAATGCAGATAAAGACAGCCAGTGTAGCAGCAGTCTCTGCATCAGTAGACCTGAACATACACAAGGGGAAAACCAAGGTCCTCAAATACAACACGAAGAACAGCAATCCAATCACTCTTGATAGCGAAACTCTGGAAGATGTCGAATCCTTCACATACCTGGGAAGCATCATCGATGAACAAGGAAGATTCGATGCAGACGTAAAAGCGAGGATTGGCAAAGCAAGGGCCGCATTCCTACAATTGAAGAACATATGGAACTCAAAACAAATTTCAACCAATATCAAAGTGAGAATCTTTAATACCAACGTCAAGGTAGCTGAAACTTAGAGAACTACAACAATCACCAACAAGAAGATACAAGTATTTATAAATGGTTGTCTACGCAAGATACTCAATATCCATTGACCGGATACCATCAGCAACAGCCTTTAGTGGGAGAGAACAAACTAGCTTCCAGCAGAAGAAGAAATTAGGAAAAGACGATGGAAATGGATAGGACATACATTACGCAAATCGTCAAACTGCATCACGAGGCAAGCCCTAACTTGGAATCCTGAAGGGAAGCAAAAAAGAGGAAGGCCAAAGAACACATTGCGTCGGATAATAGAAGCAGATATGAAAAGAATGAATAACAACTGGAAAGAATTGCTCAGAACAGAGTTGGATGGAAAATGCTGATGAGCGGCCTGTGCTTCTTCGCGAGGAGTAACAGGCGTAAGTAAGTAAGTAACCAGTTGTTACAGAATACTGGAGTTCGACATATCTCTATAAAATTGTTCATGGTACATTTCGATTGATGAACAGGGTGGATCTGATGCAGATGTGAAGGCGCGGATCGGCAAAGCAAGAACAGCAAATTTACAACTGAAGAACATCTGGAGTTCAAAGCAACTGGAGAACTACAAAAGCCATCATCCAGAAAATACAGGTGTTTATTAACAGTTGTCTACTTAAAATACTTCAGATCCGTTGGCCGGACACTATTAGCAACAACGTACTGTGGGAGAGAACAAACCAGATCCCAGCGGAGCAAGAAATTAGGAAGAAGCGCTGGAAGTGGATAGGACACACATTGAGGAAGGCACCGAACTGCGTCACAAGACAAGCCCTCACATGGAATCCTGAAGGTCAAAGGAAAAGAGGAAGACCAAAGAACACATAACGCCGAGAATTGGAGATAGACATGAGAAAAATGAACAAGAATTGGATGGAACTAGAAAAGAAGGCCCAGGACAGAGTGGGTTGGAGAATGCTGGTCGGCGGCCTATGCTCCATTGGGAGTAACAGGCGTAAGTAAGTAAGTAAGTAACATTTCGATTCACTTTTGTTTCGTATTTGAGTAAATAAACATGAATGATTGTCGAATCTTGATAGCTACGTGATATCAGAATCAATCACTAATCAATATGAGGTGACTGGGAAATACGAATGATCGATCTATTAGCGTAATATAAGATATAGTCCTTGTCAAATGACAATTATTGAAAGTATGTGAGGATGGAATTAGTCTTTCACAAATTTCGGTGGTATGAAAGTGTCCCAAAAAAGATAGTCATGTTTACTCTAGTGTATATTGGGAAAAAAAGACAAATTGATCGATTAATTTAGAATATTGGAAAAATCATTTATTTGGTAGAGATTAAAATGACCCGAGTGTATAAGATCATTGTGCGGGAAAAGACTACTAATGATCAAAAAAACACCAAAAAGAATTAAAAATGAGTTGTAGTGAGAAGTCGTGACCAGTGGATTTCAACCATGTCGGGTGTGAAGCAAATAAACACTAATGACATTATCATATGGCCAATAATTTCTAACTTTATTTAGAATCATCCTTTTAAAAGTGGCATAACATAATAACAATTAAGCGAATGGATACTGATTGTATTATTTGATTACATCGTATAGGTGAGAAGTCAATCTGAGG